GCTGTCCAGACCATACCTGGGGTCTGCACAACATCCCCCAAACTCTAAACTCCCCAAACACCCCCAACCCTAAACTCCCTAAACTCTCAAAACTCCCCCAACCCTAAACTCCCTCAACTCCCTAAACTCCCTCTAAACTCTCTCTAAACTCTGTCTAAACTCCCTGATTCCTTCTAAACTCCCTAAAGGATCGAGCTGGCACTTCACCTTCAAGAGAACAGGCCTTCCTCTTGGGCACCAAGACTTGGTGTTGCCAACGCATCCGCACTAGGGTGTGCGGAGAAGACTCCAGAAAGCCCAATATCCCTGAGTCATATTCAGGAGTATACCTGAATCCAAAATAGGGATCCTCCTTAAGACTTAGTTGCTTCTCGAGGATGGCCCCTGAGACCCTCTGAAAATATTCCTACCTAGTTGTTCCCTGTACTTATTCCCTCATTGCAAGGCTCTTTGCTGAACTGCCATGCAGACCCGGCCGCACAGATCGCGAAGGGCAGCAGACTTCGGGAGCATTCTTCGCGCGGCCTCCAACAGACACGGACAGACCATCAGCTTGTTGCAAAAAACACTTGCGGCAACTCGGTGAAATTTAAAGCCCGACATGGGCAGCCTACTATGTTGTTCTTCTGGTGGAATATGCTAGGAAACACTTATAGAACACGCCACGAAATTGAGATGATACATTTCAAGCTTGAATTCAAAGGGTGCCCCCGCCTGCTGTCCAGCGTCCGTCGGTGCCGTTGTGCGGCACCGTGGGCATGGCGATGCTGGTCGGCGCACCTGCACAAGGAAAAAGTAAACCGTGAATCCTCGGCCCTGGGGGTTTTAGGAACCATCTGTTTAGTAGGTTTCTGAGTATGATAACCCCAGTCACGGGGGCCCCTTGCGGCACTACGGGGGCTCCTTGCGGCACTTGAAACTATTTGTTGCAGCCAGGTGGCACTTCAAACTCTACAAAACTAAATACCCCTTAGGGTTTAGGGTTGTGGGTTTGGGGATGGTGCTTGGGGTCTTTACACGCTCGTGCCCTTGGAGCCCTCGATTTTAACAAAGATAGACCACACCTCCGACAACCTCGAAACTACGGCAAAACAATAAGGTACATTGCCAAGACTCCTGCACCACGTTGGGAAACACCATCATTCAAAACAGTACAACTAGAAACAAGAAGTAGAACTAAAACCATAACTATCATTGTACCAACTAGAAGTAGAACCAAAACCATAACTACAGTTGTAGTAGTTTCCTGGCTCTTGAAAGCTTCACCACTTGGGCCCAGAGGCGGCGGCTAGTCCTCTAGGCGCCAGAAATCATTGAACCATGATCATCAGAAGTCCTAGAAGCCCTCTGAAGGCCTCTTAGTGGTTTAGGGTTTAGGGTTTAGGGTTTAGGGTTTAGGGTTTAGGGTTTTAGGAAACATCCGAAACTTGCTATTTCCTACCATTTTATGAACACTAGCCCACGTTCGTAATAGAACACTTGGTACCCCAGCAACCATCTTATGATAAGTGCACCCGGGTAGCCCGATAACCATCTTATGATAAGTGCACCCTCTTTGGTTGGTTACTTAGAGAACCCCAGAACAAGAAACATACAAGGGTAAAGGGCACCACTGGGCTGCCAAGAGAAGATAGAAACCAAAGCCTCCCCCCTAAACCCTAAACCCTAAACCCTAAACCCTAAAACCCTAAACCCTAAACCCTAGAACCCTAAACCCTAAACCCTAAACCCTAAACCCCTAAACCCTAAACCCTAAACCCCTAAACCCCTAAACCCTAAACCCTAAAACCCTAAACCCTAAAACCCTAAACCCTAAACCCCGGCCTCCTACAATTGGGCCATGGCTGGGCGCGGGGATCCCAAAGTTGCGCTCAGCCAGTAAAGCCGAGAGCTTCGGCCGGGTTAAGTGTTCGGAGCGCAGGGGGTTCCTTTAAGGGAATGTGTAGGGTTTAGGGTTTGGGGTTTGGGGTTTAGGGTTTAGGGTTTAGGGTTTGGGGTTTGGGGTTTGGGGTTTAGGGTTAGGGGTTGGGGGATTAGGGTTTAGGGTTTAGGGCTATATACCCCTATATCTACCCTTTAAGGGAATGCGTACGGTACCCTAAATACCCCTATATCTGCCCTGTACGGGAAGGTTTGGGGTTTAGGGTTTAGAGTGGTCGGAGCTGCCGAAGGCTTCAGAAAAGCTCCAGCACTAAAACCTCAAGTGCTGTGACTGGTAAAATTTCCTCCTCGCAGAGACTCAAGCACCCCTGAACTTGGGAATGCTCCTTCCGCTGCTATTTAATATGATTTAGGGAAAGGTTCCTTGTTGTAATTTAGGGATATAGAGGTGTCTGGGAAAGCCAATGAACATCCACGGAAACCCGGCTTGGGGTTTAGGGCTCTTTCGCTCCCGCATAGCTGGGTTTAGGGTTTAGGGTTTAGGGTTGAGGGTTTGGGGTTTGGGGTTTCGGGTTTCGGGTTTAGGGTGTAGGGTGTAGGGTTTAGGGTCGATGTTTGTCACCTGGCGAACCCTTTAAAGCCTAAACTGGGGATTTTCCCCCTTATACTCACTTAATAGGGATTAAAGTACCGCCCCCCCCCCCCTACTAGAATCCCTATTTAGGACTGTTCGTACAAGGGGGGAACATCCGAAGCCTAAACCCTAAACCCTAAACCCACAGCTCCGTCTTGAAGCTGGGGCTCCCGGACAGACGGCTGCCAGCCGCCGGGCCTCGTCTTCGCGCTTCCTTTGCGGCCCCAGGGTTTAGGGTTTAGGGTTGAAGGGGGTTTAGGGTTGAGGGTTGAGGGTTGAGGGTTGAGGGTCGAGGGTTTTAGGGTTTAGGGTTTTTTGGTACACTTCGCGATGTGTGGGCCTCATCCTTGCGCAGGGGCCATGCGAATCTTCTCTGTATCGTTCCAATTCTATCGGATGATCCCCGAAGGGAATCCAGGATTAGGTTTTAAGGTTTACGGGTATAAGTAGGGTTTTGGGTGTAGGGCTTGGGCTTAGGGCTTAGGGCTTAGGGCTTAGGGCTTAGGGCTTAGGGCTTAGGGCTTAGCTTAGGGCTTAGGGCTTGGGGTTTGGGGGGTTTGGGTTTGGGGCTTGGGGCTTGGGGCTTGGGGCTTGGGGCTTGGGGCTTGGGGCTTGGGGCTTGGGGCTTGGGGCTTGGGGCTTGGGGCTTGGGGCTTGGGGCTTGGGGCTTGGGGCTTGGGGTCCGCTAAACCCTGAACCCGAAACACTATAGATTATAACTTTAGTTGAAGTACTTAGAACCCTCCTAGAACGACCTGTGAACCTTCAAGTGGGGAAGTACTTTAAAGGATCACTCCCAAGTAGTAAGATCCGCTTTCAGGACATTACAAACCCAACAAGGAATACCATGCAATATCCAGGGCCTACAAAGCGGCCCAGGGTTTAGGGGTTTAGGGGTTTAGGGGTTTAGGGTTTAGGGTTTAGGGTTTAGGGTTTAGGGTTGAGGGTTTAGGGTTTAGGGTTTAGGGTTTAGGGTTTAGGGCTTTCGGAGCCCAGGACCGCCATGTTTCCTTGCTTCACGCTAGGCATCGAATGGATGGTTCAGCCGGAGTACGGCCAGCCGGGGCCCTCTAGGGCAAAGGCCCGCACCCAGCTCTAGCCTGGAAGCCTCCGAGGGATTCCTAAACCCTAAACCCTAAACCCTAAACCCTAAACCCTAAACCCTAAACCCTAAACCCTAAACCCTAAACCCTTTGCGAACCCTATAAACTGAGGGGTTTAGGGCTCTAACCTCGCCGACTTGACAAAAATCAAGTAGCTAAGCTGTGGTCCATATTGTTAAGCTATGGCTCGAGAAGTAAAGAGAATCCGCCGGCGAATGGTGCCGACATGTCAATCATCTCGGAATTCTGAGTGAAGGGTTTTTGGCCACTTGCTTAGCTGACTCAGGGAACTCAACCGACAAAGTGTGTTAGTTGAAAACACACCGCGCACAGCCTAAAGTCTCTAAACCCTTATGAGACACCAGTCCCCTACAAAATATGGTCCTTGCAATGACCCAAACAAAGAACCCCAATTTGGATGATTACCCCCATGCAAACCCTGGCACACACCTGGGGCCGACCCCAAGATGGTTTGGGGTTAACCCTCAACACCCTTTGACCCTTTGAGAACGTTTTGAGGCTTTCTAGCACTTCCCGCCCCAAACAGGACCTAGCCTCTAATATTCTTAAGCCGAAGATGAGTACCTTCCCCGCCAGCTGCACAGCTGCGGGCTTCCAGGACGTGACTGGCTAAGTTCGGCACGCCGCCCGGCTCGAGTTCAAAGGCGCAGTTGCATGAAGGATCATTAGGGTAGCTCTTGGGGTGTTCCCCCCTTATACTATTTTCCTTCTGTAGGGGTTTTAAAAAAGAAAAAAGTAACGATGGTCCTATCGAGGACTGTTTTTTATTGGGGGGAAAAGCATCCAAAGGTAGTTCTAAGTAGGGTTCGACTTTAGGGTTAAGGGTTCAGGGTAGTTATAGGTAGGGACAAAAGAAGTATGGTGTCTCATACTGGCACTTTGGCTAAGGTACTGACAGCCCTGATTCAAACTGCCCATGAACCTGACCTGATGTTTAAGAGTGGAGGACATTTCCCATGCCTGAAGGGCGAGACCACAAAGCATATTGGGTCAGGAGAAGGGAAACTAAGGCGAAGGTGTACTCCGAAACGATTTCAAGATGGTATTTTGGAGTTCTTTGACTGGGGACTTTAGGTTTTTTTTTTTTTTGGGGGGGGGGGGGGGGGTTCAGGGTTTAGGGTTTGGTGTGGCTTGGAGGGTTTAGGGCTTCTCAATGGTCGGGGGTTTTTGGTGGCTGGGCGCTTAGGATACATGGAAGCCGGTCTCTTGCGGTGGTCAGGGGAGCCTGGGAATCGGCGTGCTTCGCCTTCCTACTGTTTGGCATTGACGGGCGTCCGGAAGTAGGGTTCAAGAGTTGCTGCGTGAGGTGCTGGCACAAGTGGTGTGGGAGAATGGAGAAAGAGCCAACTTCAGGAAGCCACTCACGAATTCCGGGGCTGCGCATGATTTAGCGCCTCCCATAGGTCAAGCCTGCACAAGGGACACCGGCAGTTCAACATCAAGTTGCAGCAGCTGTAGTGGACCAGCTCGCGGTAGCAGCTCCGGTGGAAGATGTGCCCACATGGAAGCTCCACAAACTTCGGCGGCGCGCTGGGGCTATGGGCACCTCGGATGGCCCTGTAAAAAGCCTCTGAAAAATACTCTCATGGCCCCTAAAACCGTCTGAAAAAAGGGCTTACGGTTTAGGATGGTTTTTTTTTTGCCACCCCCTTAGCTGACCTCTCGGACACTCTGCAGCGCTCAGCCCGGACACGACCTACCATCACAGGGCTCTCGGACAACAACAGAACACAGCAGTACATCACGCAGAGGTACACAGCACTGAGAGCCCTATGAGCTAGCCATCCACAACGCCTTAGGGGGCCGGAGGTTACCCTCATTAGGATGGTTTAGGGCTTAGGGGTTAGGGATATTCCGGAATATGATCCTCTTAAAACCCAGTCAGGGGGAAATTATGAGATGTCCCAAAAGCCAGCCTGGGCACTTAAGCATATCGAGCACTCGAAGCCCTCCTCCACGCTGACGGCTTTCGCCAAGGCCATGAGCTTGGCGATGTCTTGCAAAGGCAGCCGGGCAGACAAAATGTCCACCTCGGGTAGCCGGTAGCCATATAATAATGACAATAATAATGCTGAGAAAAATGATGGTGATAATAATGATTCAAACGTCTAATAGCACGGCTAACCCTTCTGGGGGGCTTGTTACTTTCTAAGGGAACCTGGAAAGCCCCCCCCCCCCCCCCAAAAAAAAAAAAAAAAAAAACAGAGAGCAAACAGGGGCACCACGAAACCACCAAGCCACTGGCTGCTCAAGCTCCAAGTCCTGCATGTCCAGTCTTGCGAAGATCATGGTGGCCAACGTGCGGTAGTGCCTATACTCCCCTTGGAACCTTAAAAAAAACAATATGCTTAATACCCTCTTGGGTTTTATACAAACAAAATGTTAAAAACAAAAAAAACAACAACAACAATTCTCAAGGGGGATATAGGTGCTGATTGAGGGCGAAGAGGTCCTGGAGCCATGGGAACCTCGAACTCTCCGGAAGGGGGCTGTTCATCGGGGTGCCCATGGCCATCCGCGCGTCCGCGAAGGTGAGGCTGCCGCCACGGTGCGCTGCAAAAGCGCAGAGCTGCTGTGCTGAGGATGGGGAGTGGCCATAATGCTGAGAATACTGCCGCAACCATCCAGTTCCGTCAGTTCCGTCCATTGCCGAAGGTGACGATGATGATGATGACCCCGAGGATGATCCTGCCTTCCATGTCGTGAAACTCTCGGAAGCAAACTCTGCCGTTACTCCAATTGCAAGGACTTTCACTCAGGCTTGTTCGCCACCGGACCAATGTTGGCTGGGGTTCTCAGACACTAGCTGGGCAGACAAATGGTGACAAAATGTCGGGGTGCAGAGGTGTCTGTCTTTAATCCAAAGTTTTCCATCGCTGGCCACAGCCTAGCGTATGCATCAGCTTCTACGGCCTACACATTCACACGCCGGCAGTTGTGTGTGTGTGGCTGTGTATGTTATATATATATATATACATAAGTGTATCCTCATAGTAATATTTACATTCATACAAAATCCGTACTCACATTCATATATGACAAAGCCCTGACTCTGTGCCTCTGTTCTCTCGGATGCGCCGGTGGCCGCCAGCGCCCGCCGAGCTAGGGCAAAGGTGAGGTGATGGCCGCCATGCCGTGCGAACGCACAGAGCTGATCCTTTGTGGGGGCAGGTTTAGGGTTTAGGGTTTAAGGTTTCGGGTTTAGGAGCATTCAGAGGGGAGAACTTCCGGCTGTTTTCACACTTTACACCTTGAGTATTGCTACCGTCTGCTGTCGGGACCTCGAACATCACGAAGTGTAAGCCCAGCACATGCTTTCCGAACCAACGTGTCTCCCAACAGCACAAAAAGACCCTCCAACTTTCATCCGACAGCCCGTTTCTAACCCCCAAGACTGCGGAGGCATCCGACTACCCAACGCCCTAAACCCTGTGAACCCTAAACCAATCCACACCGCACAAACCCTTAACTAACACACACACACACATTAGAAAAACGCTGTTCGCACACTTGGGTCGCGGATTCGCGGACCGAAGTGGATTCACGCACTGAGTGGAGATGGGAGGGCGGGGGCGTCAAACTTAAACATAAACCCTGCAAAAGGACGAAATGAGCGCCCGAAACTCGCAACCCTGAAAAGAGATGCAGGGAGGGCGCCCTAACACATGGGGGTTTAGGGGTTTAGGGTTTAGGGTTTCGGGTGTCCGAAATTAGGGGTACCTTATTATACGGGGGTCCTACTATTTGGGCATGCGAAACCCTCAACCCTCAAAGTCGATGCGTGGCAGAAGCCTGCACAGGAGCTGTACACCTTAAACCTTAAAAGGGAAATTTGGGAGATCGGGGGGGATATCGGATAGGGGGGTCATCACCGGTGCTTGAAACGCGGGTGCAGGGATCGCAGGTGGTTCAATCACGCTTGCTTGAGTCGCAGCTTCGGGCATGGCCCTTGATTCCAAGCTGCTGGTGTACGCGGCCGCGCACCGTACTTGGCCAGGTACTGCTGTAGCACTTCCTCTCATTCGCTCTGGACTGTGCTCTGAGGGAGGGTGGGCCAAGATCCCGTTTGTCATCTGTTGTGGGCTCAGGTCCAGACCAATGCCGTGGTTCCGAAAGAAGGCTTCGCCAGCCAAGTAGACCCCTAAACCCCAAAACTCCGAAACCTTCAACCCTAAACCCAAAAATAAACATTGAGCCCAAGGCCAAAAACCCCAAAGCCTTTTTTTGAACCCAGACTGTTGTCCGCATCAGCTGGAAGCAGCAGCACACTGCTGGAACCCTGCAGATCGACCCAGCCATCCGACATCCGGCAAACCTTAACCCTAAACCCTGAACCCTGAACCCTAAAACCTGAACCCTGAATCCTAAACTAAACCCTGAACCCTGAACCCTAAACCCCAACCCCAAACCCTGAACCCTAAGCCGTTCCACGCCAACTCGGCGAGCCCAACTGAGCTAGGCAGGGTTTTGGTTCTGGGCTCCACAGAACTACCACTTCTTAAGGAACCACTTGTCCCCGGCAGGGGAATCCGCCCAAAAACAAAAACTCGAAACAAACTAACTTGTTGTTTAACACCCTGACCCCTAACCCCTAAACCCTAAACCCTAAACCCTAAACCTTAAACCCTAAACCCTAAACCCTAAACCCTAAACCCTAACCAACCCGGCGCAGTCCTCAGCTGCATGGGAAGCCATGTCCTGGCATCGAGGGCCTTTGAACCGAAACTGGGGGTGGCGCTCAAGTTCGAGCCGACAGCGGCTGCAGTAACATAGGGGTCGGAAAGTTTGAGGGTAGGGTATAGGGTTTCGGGTTTCGGGTTTCGTGTTTAGGGCTAGGGGCTAGGGTTTAGGGTTTAGGGTTTAGGGTTTAGGGTTTAGGGTTTAGGGTTTCATAATAGGGGTCGGAAGAATTACTAGTAGTCTTTCCTTGTGGTCCCTATATAGTTATACGATAAGAACCCCCCCCAAAACCCTACTCTAATTATTAAAAGGCCCCTAAACCGGAAACTTGGGATTTTTGAGGACGCAGCTGGGCGAGCTCTAGGGGCCCTAAGCCCAATGTTTGGCTCAACAGGAACAGGCCCAACAAACAGCCGAGCAAGATGTCTACATGCTGGCACCCAAGCTAGCCAGGGGCCGTTCTTTTCAAGCTCCCAAAAAGAGGTACCGGTACGCCCTTCGAACTCTAACAACTTTAGAAACACCTCGATGACGAGTCCGCGGCATGCTCTGTCTGCCCTGCTGGCTCACCTCTGTGTGGCTTGGGCCGCATGGGGGGTGTAGGGCTTTGGGGCCTAGGGTCTAAGTAGCCCAGTAGCCATAAAAAAGGGCACCCTTTTTTGGGGTGGCTACTTTATAAGGTAAGGGAACCCATAACCAAAAAAAGGGTACAGGCCTGCTACCAAGGGGCTCAGGGTTCAGGGTTTCGGGTTTAGTTTTGGGGTTCACGTTCTGTTGGGGGGGGGGGGGACTCAGCAAGGCGGAGAAGCAGCTGCTCCTATGTGGGAGGGTGCCCAAAAAAAACGGGGGGGGGGGGGGGGGGGGGGGGGGGGGTCTGTTGTTGAGACATTTTTCTGCGTGCCTCTACTAATTTCAGGCCCGAGGGGTTCGGGCCTTTCAGCCTGTCGGGGATCTCCCTAAACCCTCTAAACCCTCTAAACCCTCTAAACCCTCTAAACCCTCTAAACCCTCTAAACAATCTAAACCCTCTAAACCCTCTAAACCCTCTAAACCCTCTAAACCCTCTAAACCCTCTAAACCCTCTAAACCCTCTAAACCCTCTAAACCCTAAACCCTAACCCAGGGTTTCTGTGAGAAGCGTAAGCCGCCCGCAGCCAAAACCTCCAAGGAGAGGAAGGCCGCAAGGTCCTGGCTTGCTACTTGAAGGTTCATTCGGGTAGTGGTAAGTAGGGTTTTAGTTAGGGTTTAGGGTTTAGGGTTTAGGGTTTAGGGTTTAGGGTTTAGGGTTTAGGGTTTAGGGTTTAGGGTTTAGGGTTTAGGGTTTAGGGTTTAGGGTGTAGGGTTTAGGGTTTAGGGTTTAGGGTTTGCAGGGGCCTAAATAATTAGAACAGGGTTTTGGGGGTCTGCAGCCTCTCTCAGAAGCAGAAGTAGGTCAACAGGAAAGCCGTGTCGAAGTGGGGGCGGTGTTGTCGAGGGTGGCCACTCACCAGGGCACATCTCCCCTACGAAAGAACCTTGAAAAGCCTCAGCCCGGCAAAACCCAGACTGCCTTCCAGCAACAGGCTAGGGCCCAGCCCTAAACCCTAAACCCTAAACCCTCAACCCTAAACCCTAAACCCTAAACCCGAAACCCCCAAGCCCGAAGCCCGAAACCCTAAACCGCCCCAACAGTTCGGACCAGGTGTCCTCCCATGACGCATCCTCTGACTCACCCGGCGCTCGAGCTGCTGCCTTTCAACGAAGCCACCGCATTTCTGCGTTGAAACTTGGCTATACTGAACTTGAAACCCTAGCAAACATTATAGGTTTAGTTGTTTCTTAGGAATTATACTGCCCGACAAGTACAAGAATGATCGCAAGTACGCCTAAGTTAGGACTTGGTCTTTGTCTTTATTCAGGGGCCGGTATATTATCTTCATAAGGCCCGTGCCTTCATATTAAAACAGTAAATCACGACCCTTTCAGTGGGCTAAAAGGCCCTGTTTGAAAGTGCCAAATTTGGGGTCTTTTTGCACCTTGATTTTGTGCGATTACGAACTCTTTATGGCGTGCTCTCACTACATCTTACTGCACGCCCCATTTAACTCATGCAGCTGAGTTGTTAGGGTTGGTGTCTCGATGAAGGACCCAGGCGCGCACCCTGAATTGAACGAACCCCCTAAACCCTAAACCCTAAACCCTCAACCCTAAACCCTAAACCCCAGCCCCCCCCCCCCCCCCCCCCGATTTAGGGTTTCCTTGCTTTCTGATCGCGCCCATCTTGTTCGTGCACGCCCCAGCTCTGGGAGCTACCAAGGTTGCAGAGAAGCCAGCGCGCTGCACGAGACTTCGAGATTTAGATCTGTCCCCCAAGCTTGGTCTTTGGGCAACGCAGCAGTTGTGGCTGTGGAGCCTGGAGCTGCAGCCTGGGGCACGATGTGCTCAGAAAGGTTCTGCGAAATCGCGCCAGTGGACGTCACAGCAGTTTTGTCAAAGGCAAGACTCAACCCAGCACCCCCCAAACACAAAGCAGCTTCGGAAACAAAAACAGCAACGCAGCCTCCGTCAGGTTACCAACCATGGCATCGTCACCTAAAACCCAACCCTCTTTTGCCTCAAACCCTGCTTGCAGGTTCATGGTACTTCTTAACCAACAAAAACAGTACTTATCACCCACTTATATGGTTATATGTTCAGTTATAAGTACACTCACTCACTCACTCACTCACGCATCTGAGGCCCACTGTTTTATGTGCAGTTATAAGTATACTTATAGTTGGCTAATAAGTACCCTGAGGATCCCGAAAGAGTGCCAGGCTCGTGCCTTTGGTGGGGCCGGCGCCTCCGGGGCGGCTGTTGGCGCCTCCTGTCTCGGCGGCCTCAGGCGCGCAAGAGGCTTCAGCCCGAACCAGCCAAAGGTGCTGAGGGCTTTGGGTTTAGGTTTCGGGGTTTAGGGTTTAGGGTTTAGGGTTTAGGGTTTAGGGTTTC